CAGGACGAGGCGGGCGCGCCGCGCCTGGAGCCGCTCTCCGCCGCCTGCCTCTACGTGGGGGACATCGCGGACCTGCCCAACGCCTCGGTGGCCATCAGCAACTGCGACGGGCTGGTAAGGGCTCCCCTCCCCTCCCCTCCCCTTGGGGGACGCTTCTAGGGAACTTTTCCTCCAGCCCAAGGATTGCTGGAAGGGCTTCAGGGGATGCTCTACGCGCTGGCATGCGCTGAGGACAGGGTGCCGTCCCCTGGGGTCTGGGACACAACCGGTTTGACCCAGATCGGCGGAGTCTGATGCTGCGTTCGACCGGGTTTATCGCAAACTGGGTTCAGCCGTTTTCCAACTGGTTTACGTGTTCTGTTACAGGTTTAAACTAGTTTCTGAGCGCTTAAACCGGTGTACGTGTCACGTCTGTCCTGACTTAACAGGGCAAACTTTGTTCGGGGGCTGTCGTTTTGGAAGCGAGCTGCAACGCTGTATGCTTAACCGCTTCTCGTCCTTTCAGGTTTCATATCTTTGCGCTAATTTAATGCCCGCGGATTTCCGTGCTCTGCTTAAACGGCAGCCGAGTTTAAGCAGAGCGCCGGTTTGAGTCTGCTGTGGTCCTTTTTCGTTGGGTCATGGAAAGCTGTTCGCTTCCAGCACTGGAGAGCTGGTGTGCCTGAAACCTGCAAAAGTGAATGAGACGGTTTCTCTCTGTCCTCCTTTTCCTTATTTGCACTCCTGTGATTTCCTCTCTGTTCACCCTCTGCATGTTCTTACTTTAGCGGTGGGTTTGCATTAGCGTTGATGTGCACAAAAGTTTCTCCAAGAACACTGCTGTCTAGCGTAATTTCGATTCGGTCACAACCCACTTCCCAGACTCTCAATGAAGGTGGGAGAAATGTTGCCAGTCCTGTACCTAGCACAGATTATTCCGATTAAGGCATAATTGCAGCTGTTCTGGGCAGTGCCCAGGGTGGGGGAAGCAGTGGAGCCAGGACCCAGCTGTGTGGGAGGGGAGGGGCAGATCCTGGGAGACTGCTTGCTTCTTGTGCGGACGCTGGCTCGGGAGAGTGCCCGGGTGACTTGATTCTCCCCTTGCCTGCCTGCGAGCGTGCCATGGACCATGATGTGGCTATTACCGTTTTAAAAAGCAAATCCAGTTGGACTGTCAGCATCTGTTTAATGAGAACAAAAGATTAGGGGTCTGAATCTCTGTGGCCTTGTGCTGTCATTTGATGTCTGGCCCAAATGGGTTTAAGAATACCACTGCTTGTACAGGAGCAAACACCTCCACACGGTTCAGGAGAGTGGAGCAGCAGACCCAGTCTTTCCTGAGGGATCAGCAAAGCTAATCTTCACGCAAGTCCTTTATTTGGATAGCTACAAGCTAGACAGAAACTGACAGGAGTCAGATAAGTTTAACAACACTGCATTAAGGTCTGGGGCAGACATTGCACAAACCAGTTTGAGCAAAAGCAGTTAAGTCTGATAGACTACATTCAACCAGGTTTATCTCAGACCAGTTTCAGCCATTCTCAAACTGGCTCATGCGTGCTGAGCATCTGTTCTGTCACAGGTTTAAAAGAGTTTCTGATCACTTGAACCGGTTTATGTGTTGTCTGTCCCTAGTCTAAGTGTGTTCAGCTTCCGTCAAATATGTCAGTTATGTGTATGAGCATCAGCATTAAGGAATTAGCTTAGTTTTATCCTTATTTGAAGTCTTAACTCTGAGAGCTTCTGTATATGTCCATATTCCACGGCATCTACTCTCGGCTGCTTGTTACGCTTATTCATCTGGGCCTGTTCCTGCAAACACACGTGCGCTTACTATTGAGCGTGCAAATAGCGTGAGGGGTTAGCTCGTAGTCAATACGGGAAAGAATTAATAATAATAAGTTAAGCTTTAGCCAGATAAGCTTCAGCCAAGAGCAAATAGAATGAGGATCCAGGCCCCGTTACAGCCAATGGGAAGACCTGTGTTTACTTCTTGTGAGTCATTAGTTATTCATGAAATAAATTTTTTAATTACTGGAGTAGGATGTTTAGTAAGGTTTTCAGCTGGGCATCGGCGGCTCTTTTAGTCTTGTCTGGTCTCTTCCTGTGCAATGCTCTTGCTTCTGAGGACTTAGGATGTTTAGTACTAACTCCCTGCGTTTGCTGCATGGGTAAGTAGTGTGTGTGAGGGGCTGGGGTGGATATTCAGGTGCATCGTTTTGGACCTGACACCTATTTTATGGTGGCCTGTCACTGCGAAGGACCAGGCTTGATGACCCATGTTCCTCAGTTATTCCCAGCTTATGAATGAGGCAAACATCACTTGGGAGGTGAACAGGGCTTCTCCCCATCTCTGCCTACTCTGGGCTGTTTCTTCTGCGTCCTCTCCGCTGTTTAGTCTTGTCAGTTTTTCCTTTCGGAATATATTGTTTGATAGGGATAGTCTTTCAGTCGGCCCCTGTCTCACATCCCTCTTGCTGCCCTATGGCTTATCTGCCATAGCAGATTCTCCGGCTTCATTTTTAATGCATGTCCCAGATATTTTCACTTTTTCATTTTTATTTTTTTAAAAAACTGGAGATCAGGAGCTGTTGACTCCTTGGGCAGCTATTCACATTTGTTATAAAGGCACTTCATCTCCTACCTATTGTGTTCTTTCGGCACTTGCTTTTGGAGGCATTTAGACATTTCTGCCTGCCCCTGGTGGATTTCTGGTTTTTGCATCCAGATGTTGAGGTGAAGATCGGTAGTCTAGTCTTCAAGCTGTAGATTTGCATTGGCTGTATCTTGTTCAGCCTGGTGGATGCAGCTTCTGCCTTGCCACTTTTGACATTTCTTTCTTTCTGGATACTCCCCTTGGCGCTCAGGTTTCTGGCCAGGGTCTTATTTTCCAGTTATTCTTCTGAAAAGCTTTTCTGGGGCTGTGGGTTTTGCTAGGATGCAGAGTGGTTAGAACTGGTTGAAATGGCATCACTGTTGCATTCTACACCGTGGATGGTTTTGGTTTGCCTTCTTTTTCTTTTCTTTTTTTTTAAAGAAACCCCTCTGATCCATGCTAACTCTAGGAAGGACAGTGAAATGAGTATTCAGAAATGCATATCATTTTTATGCAGAACTGAGGATTAGTTGTTTTAATATGCATCCTCTCACAGCCTTCTGGAGTAGAAACTAACAACAAAACCAGTTTCACTTAGCACTGGCTTAAAAAAGAAGCAGAAACAGATGAACTAGGACATCCAAATTATGCAAATTGGACTTCTTTTTTTTATTGCTGAATTGGGCCCTTGGAGATCACTGGCAAGTTGGAGCTAATTAAGTAGCTTTCCTTATCAGCCTCCTTTAGAGTCCTGAATGTGGTGGTGGTTGTTGTTATTATCATTATCATCATTTTTAACCGTGTAAAGGAAATATTGCAACTCAATTCATTAAAAAGAAAAGATTGGGTTCTAGGGTAGGGTGTCAAATGTCTTTGTCAGCCAAGTGGCACCCAACGTGGGCTTTTCCCTAGGTATGCTCTGAATTCATTTCTGCATCCTGGTTCTTCACTCCGACAGCACAGAAGGAAGAGACAAGGGCAGCTTTCTGTTGCCTTGGTGCTTGCCCCATCCCAAGGTTGTTTGAAGTTCAGCTTCGGTGCAAGAGTAGAGGGAGCTCTAACATGCTCAGCAGTCTCAGGCCTCCAGGGATCATTGCAGAAGACACTGTGCGCTGGTGACATCTCTTGTCCTTGGTACGCCCTGTACACTAGGGGCACCAGCGGAGGACATTTTAGGACCATACAGCCCTTGTCCTGTGGATATTCTGTGGTGGGCAAGCCATTGCCTTTTTCCAATCCTCCACTGTATAAAGTGGAAAAGGCAATAAAGAATTAGGTCTCACTTGACTCTCCCCTTGGAAAGGCCAAGTTTGCCGTCCTCTGTGGTGTTTGGGCCCTGACAGACCTTGGGGTATCTCTTTGAAAGGCCAGTGTCTCTGCAGTTCATCACTTCATGGCAGCACAGCTCCCAACCATGCATAATAACCATCCCAAGCGTCCTTCCTGTCCAGAGGGTCTTCAATGAATGGTGGGTGAGCAGGGGAAAGTTGGGGTATGTCCACACTGATGTTTATGGTCAGTGCTGCAGGTTGCCCCAATTAATTCAAGGCACAGTAGTTGTCCTGCCCCGTGTATATCTTATCTGTTGCCTACACCAGTGTTTCTCAACCAGTGGGACTCGAAGGCCGTGTAGGTGGGACTTCAACTCATTGCCTGATTGAAAAAAATCAGTTGTTTGCACCTCAAATAGATGCATCAATAGATATCTTGAACAGTGTAATTTTTTGGGGTTTTGTTTTTATCGTGGGGGGTTCCAGGGTTTTTTGACAAAATGGTTGGTGGGACGTAAGGTGCAAAAGGTTGAGAACCACTGGCATACACCAAGGTGGCCCATCTTGTTTTCCCTGTTCCCTTCTAGGAATCAGTCTGTGAATTACTTGCCTCTTCTTCTGTGCTACCCTAATTACAACAAATGGGGTGCAGAAGGGCTGGAAGTCTTGAATAGGGAATTACGGGGATAGTACAGACAGACTTCCCATGCTTGCAGCATCTAGGTAAGTACCAAACATGGTGTAGGGAGAGGTGACTGGGCAGGTAAGGTTTGGCCTCACACCTTTGAAGTTTAGCTGAGACTTTGTGGGTGGGCTTGGTAGTTGGTAGGGGCTGAGCTTGCGGGTTTTCACTGTAGATGATAAGCAGCTTTGGCCCTTAGGGTGGCCAAAAGGTTATCCCTAACTGTTAATATAGACATAATATTATTGTGGATGGAACAAAATTAACACATGCAGGATGTCCCCATGTCTGCCCTCTTACAGAGCCCAATACCCAGTGACTGCCCGTGATATTGGAGAGAGGGGGAGAGCCTGCCATGAAGCCAGAACTCTCCATTTCCGTGGTGTCCAGATTTGCTACTTGTGGAAATATAGCGGGGAAAAGTTTTGGCCCATGTCAGTAACAATGCTGATGGCAGCTGTGAAAGTCTTCTGTACCCTTTATATGGTGAAAATATTGTTGGCTGCAGAATTTCAGTGTTGTTGACTGACTATACCCCACCCTCTATGTAATATATCCCCAAGCCCACAGGCAATTGGCTAGATAG